CCCCCGGGGAGAGGGGCCCCCCGCCCCTGCCGATAGCCCGCCAGCACCGAGGCCGTGAACTTCCACCACTCGCCCGACTCCACCATGGCCAGCAGCTGGGCACGCAGCACTGCAGGGGCTCCAACGATGCTCATTGGTCTACGACACCAACTCCAGTGACTCCAACGATGCTCATTGGTCTACGACACCAACTCCAGTGACTCCAACGATGCTCATTGGTCTACGACACCAACTCCAGTGACTCCAACGATGCTCATTGGTCTACGACACCAACTCCAGTGACTCCAACGATGCTCATTGGTCTACGACACCAACTCCAGTGACTCCAACGATGCTCATTGGTCTACGACACCAACTCCAGTGACTCCAACGATGCTCATTGGTCTACGACACCAACTCCAGTGACTCCAACGATGCTCATTGGTCTACGACACCAACTCCAGTGACTCCAACGATGCTCATTGGTCTACGACACCGACCCCAACGATACTCATTGGTCTATGACACCGACCCCTGCCAACCCCAATGACCCCAACGATGCTCATTGGTCTATGACACCGACCCCCTCCAACCCCAATGACACCCAACGATGCTCATTCGCCTACGACACCAACCCTTGCCAAACCCAATGACCCCAACACCCCAATGACCCCAACGATGCTCATTGGTCTATGACACCGACCCCCGCCAACCCCAATGACCCCAACGATGCTCGTTGGTCTATGACACCAACCCCCCGCCAACCCCAATGAATGCTCATTCGCCTACGACACCAACCCTTGCCAAACCCAATGACCCCAACAATGCTCATTGGTCTACAACACCAACCCCAATGACCACAACGATGCTCATTAGCCTACGACACCAACCCCCACCAAGCCCAATGACACCCAATGGTGCTCAACACTGGCCTATGACACAAATACCCAACAATACTTAATGATACCTGCCCAAACCAACTAATACCCAGTCATACGCAACGATATCCATATCCTCCAATACTCAATGATACCTGCCCAAACCAACCAATCATACCCAATGATACCCTTACCCTACAATACTCAGTGATACTTGCCCAACCCAACCAATACCCTGTGATACCCAACATTAGTCAATGATGCTGATACCAACACTGAATGGTGCCCAACAGAGTCCACCAATGTTCAGTAAGACTCACCATGCAACGTTATCCACTGGTGTCAAACATTCTCCAAGGACACCACCACTCAGCACACAGCATTAGCCAACACTGCCAATACCTGCTGATGCCCACCAATCCTTAGTGATAGCCATCAATCTCAGTGATCCCCACCAATACCCAGTGATTCTCATCAGTCCCCAGCATTATTCATCAGTGGCCAAGGGCACACTCCAGTACCAGTGCAACTTACCCACAATGCCCAGCAGAGCTCCCTGACACCGACAATGCTCCAAAGCGCTCCCCGATCCCCACCAAGACTGACCAGTGCCCAGCATGCCCCATGCTCACCAATACCCAACAACGCTTAGCAATGTCTCATACTGAAGATGCCTAGTAATACCAATATGCCTACCAATAGTCAGTGATGCCCACCAAGAGGCAGCACGGCTAGCCACGCTCACTGAAACCCAACAGTGCCCAATTACCACCAACAGTGCCCAGCAATACCCATGGGAACCCAGCCATGCTCCTTGACCCCAACAATATGCAGGGATAGCTAGCAATAGCCACTGAAAACAATACCTTGTGATACCGAGCAGTCCCCACTGAACCCCAATAATACGCAGTGATACCCTACAATACCCCTGAACCCCAATAATACCTTGTGATACCCAGCAGTCTCCACTGAACCCCAATAATACCTTGTGATACCCTACAATACCCCTGAACCCCAATAATACCAAGTGATACCCAGTGATACCATGCAATACCCCTGAACCCCAGTAATACCCAGTGATACCCTGCAATACCCTGAACCCCAATAATACCCAGTGATACCATGCAATACCCCTGAACCCCAATAATACCAAGTGATATCCAGTGATACCCTGCAATACCCCTGAACTCCAATAATACCCAGTGGTATCCAGTGATGCCCTACAACACCCCTGAACCTCAATAATACCCAGCAATATTTGGTGATACCCTATAATATCCTTGAACCCCAATAATACCTAGCAATATTCAGTAATACCCTACATCACCCCTTAACCCCAATAATACCCAGTGATGCACAGCAAAACCATGATAACCAGCGATGGCTAGCGATACTCAATGATACCCAAAGCACATGCGGTGCTAGGCCAGTGCCAACCATGGATCTAGATTGATACTGATCAATACCCAGTGGGAGACGCCTCCAGTGGACCCCCCTCCTCCCCTGCCAGGCCCAGCAGTTCGAAACCCCAGGGAAAGCCCCGCTCTCCCAGGCTGGATCATGCCCAGTGCTTGCCCGTCTGGCCGCTCCAGGGTATTTCGGATCTGGCGCTGCGGCCTGAGAGCCAGCGATGGGGACTGGACGTAGAGGTGGCTGGGGGAGGGGATGGACACACAAAGGTGGGAGGGATGGTGTGGGGGGGCAGAGTGGAGCAGGCTGGGCCCCCAGTGCCCTTTGCGCAGGGTGTGTGTGCTCCGTCGCCCTTCGGCTGCTCACGGGGCCGAGGCCAGAGGCAGCAGGCAGCTCACCCGCGTAATCCCCAATAATCCCTGGGGAAAAGCCCTAGCGGCTCCTAGTGCCCTTTGTGCCTTGAGGCCTGAGCTCCGGCTCAGGGTCACCCCCACAGCGCGGGAGAATTCCCTGCCGGGCAGTTGTCACAGCAAGGGTGGGGGGCAGGGACCGATCCTGCACGGAGCAGGGCGGGGGAATAAATAGCACCCGCCCGTCTCTGCGCGTCCGTCCATCCATCTACTCATCCACAGACAGACAGACAGACAGACTATCTATCTCCACCCACCCCCTCTATCTATCTATCTATCTATCTATCTATCTATCTATCTATCTATCTATCTCCACCCACCCCTCTATCTATCTATCCCCACAACCCCTCTATCTATCTATCCATCCATCTATCTATCCCCACCCACCTCCTCTATCTATCTATCTATCTATCTATCTATCTATCCCCACCCACCTCCTCTATCTATCTATCTATCTATCTATCTATCTATCCCCACCCACCTCCTCTATCTATCTATCTATCTATCTATCTATCTATCTATCTATCTATCTATCTATCTATCTATCTATCTCCACCCAACCCCTCTATCTATCTATTTTTCCCCATCCACCCCATCTCTCTCTCTCTCATACATTTTCACCCTCAGAGACAGCTAAATAGAAGGAAGAATATGGAGAAGAGGGGGTAGATGGGGTGGGTGGGGATAGATAGATAGATAGATAGATAGATGGGGGTGGGGATAGATTAGATAGATATAGTGATGTCTGGTGAATGTTACCGTAATCCTTCTTGCAGTACTTTCGCAGGTTCATGTGGACGCGGCCGTGGGAGGGGTTGCAGTGAGTCCGGCACTCGGTGCCTGGGGGCAGAGCACACAGGGGGGTACGTGGATACATGTGGTTAGCCCGTCCCTGGCTCCTCACCCTGACCTGTCTCTCACAGACGGTCCAGCCTCTGCCCCAGATCACGCCTTCAACACTTCCCACCCTCCCCTTGCAACTACTGCTCTCATGTTGGAGGCAGGACCTCCATGTCCAGCTCAGTGATGTCACTTCCTGAATTAGCATTCTTGCTTCTTTGCAGGCGGAATTTCCTGCAGTACCGAACGGCCCTGGTGCACCTTTGAAACTATCTATCTCTTCCTCAGTGTGCATGTGTCACTTCCCCTCTGAAGGCAGGATCTATAGGTCAACAGCAGAGCTATGAGGTCACTTCCTGAAGTAGCATGCCTCTCTCCTTGCGATAGGACTTCCTGGTGTGCCGGGTCGCCGGTCGTAGTTCTGGGATTATGATGTCATTTCCCATATTTGTGTTCACCCTCCACTTAGACTATCTCACCCTATGGCACAGCTCTGGAGCTATGATGTCACTTCCTCAATAAGCATTTTCCCCCACTTGGGAGGCGGGGCTTCCTGGATTGTTCTACACTGTGTCACACTTCCAGGTCTATGAAATACCATTTCCCACTTCCTGGAGTGCCACAGATCACGGCACAATAGCTATGACATCACTTCCTGCCGACAGCCTTTGAAATTCCATTGGGGAGGGTCTTCTTTATAGGTATCCCATGGGATGTATTTAGCCATATGCCCCCTTCCTTATAGTTCCTTCTTCTTCCCATCGTCCTCCTCCTCCCTTTCCCTTCTTCTGACCTCTCCTACCTCTGCCGGTTCTATCCCAGCCTACCAGATGCCCCTACTTTCTCAGCACTCTCCCCACCGCCCAAATTCCCTTCCATCAGAAACAATATATTTGGCTGGCTCATGCCAGGAACCCACAGATTCCACAACCCACAGTGCATTGCAGCACCCTCCATCAAGCCTTGCTAGCAAGATTTGACACACCTACCCCACCTTCAATCCCTGAAAGCCATGATCCTCCATTAGTCATGCTAAAGAAGGGACTTTCCCTAGCTTGTAGCAGTAGTAGGCAGTTATCCTCTCTATGAACAATGCCTTGCACAGGGCAGAAAGGCAGCAGTGGGGGTGACTTCTCCATCCTGAGGCTCTGAAATGCGAGTGGGGGCCACATTTGATCCCCCCCCTTTCCCCAGGCACCTGTGTTCCACTCCAGAGGGTAGGTAGCTGTAGTGGTCATCACCTCTTGAACACCTGGGAGGGAAAGATGGGTGGAGTCACTAAACGTGATCCTGCTCAGAGTCACCCCTTCCCAAACTCATGCATGCGCAAAACACGGCCTTTGCATGTAACACGCAAGAGATGCTGCCACTAAGCATGTTCCAGGCATGATCCATGTTGCTTACTTGCCAGAGGAGGTTGAAGCCATAAACTATGATGTCACTTCCTGAATTCGCATTTGTGCTTCCTGGATGTACTATGACTCCCTTCTAGAGTTATGATATCACTTCCTGAATGACAATCTCTCTCTCTCTCTACCCTTCCTCCACTGGCAACGGGACATCTTGAAGTGCCATACTCCCTTTTCTGAACTGGCATCCTCCACCCCCCTCAAAGGCAGGCCTTCACAAAGGGCTGCACACAGGCCACACCAGATCTATGATGTCACTTCCTGAATTAACAAACCCCACCCCCAATGTCCAGCTAGAGGTGGGACTTCCTGGAGTGCATTTCACCAGTGTTTCTCAGCCAGTGGTACGAGTACCTTTAGGGTACCTTTAGGGACGTCAACACAACTGAAATTTGGAGAAAACTAAATTTTTGTTGTAAGTTTTACAGCGCTTTATTATTTTTGTACTTTTTGCACCCAAAAATTTCATCATTCACCTGGCTACAATTGAGTTGTTTAAACAAATGTGTTGCAGTGGTAAAAAAAAATAATTTGGGTGTCTGAAAACTTTAGGTACAGGTGGATACTTATAATTTTTTTTTAAAGGGATACTTTATTTAAAAAAGATTGAGAAACACTGCATTATGCAACATGCCACTCAACTGGAGATCTAAAAGATTGAGAAACACTGCATTATGCAACAGGCCACTCATCTGGAGAGCGATGATGTCACTTCCTGAATTAGCTCCTCCCCTTCTGGCGGGACTTCCTGAAATGCCCTAAGTGGGAGCTCAGATCCTGAGCTATGACATCACTTCCTGAATTAGCATCTCTCTCTCTCTCTCTCTCTCTCTCTCTCTCCCCTATGCAATCCTCAGAGGCAGGACTTCTTGGATTGCTGTGCCTGGGCAGGGTCTGATTGGTGGATTTATTGTTGGGCAGGATGTCTATGTTACAAGTGACATTGCTAAACGGAATTTGGGGACCTTACCGCTTTACCATATTGATTAGAAAATAAAGGCTCTGCAATGACCACATTCAGTAGAATATACTGGCCCAGCCTGGCTACCATATTGAGCAGTATATATAGGCCTCATTTAGTTACCACATAGAACACGGTATATGGGCCCAGACTGGCAACTGTCCAGCACATGTTATATAGGCCCTATCTGGTGGCCAGGCCCTGCCAAATTACCATTTTGAACAGAATATATGGGCTCTATCTAACTACCGTATTGAGCAGAATATACAGCCCTTCCTAGTCACCGTCCTGAACCAAACACCCATCTTGGTATGTTGACCACACCAAACTAGGGTGACTTCGTAGGAAGTGTGACAAACGGGGGGGAGGGTTGAATTGCCTATATAAGACAAAGTATTTACTATCAGGACATCTGGTCACCCTACTGAACAAGTATATAGGCACTTCCTGGTTACCGTATTGAGCAGAATATATGGGCCCAGCCTGGTTACTGTATTAAGCAGAATATATTGGCCCTTCCTGGTTGTCATATTGAACAGAGTATACTGGCCATTTCTGATTACCATATTGAACAGAGTATACTGGCCATTTCTGATTACCATATTGAGCAGAGTATAAGGGCCATTCCTGGTTACCATACTGGGCAGCCTACAAGGGTTCTGTCTAGGCGGTTATACTTGGAGGGCATGTGCAAGTGGCAGACTTACGGATGCAGGGGATGTGAGCTGTGCGGCTCTGCTGGAAGCCCTGGGCGCAGCGGTTGCAGGTGAGCCCGGTGACACCCATCTTGCACTGGCACTGCCCCGTGGTCTGGTTGCACATGGTGCCAATTGCCCCAATGGGGTGGCACTGGCAGGCTGGGAGGGAAACACGCAGGATGAATTTCTATCACAGAAGCAGGCCTCCCAAAGAGGGGGTGGGAGAGGTGCTGTGAGCTTCTTCACAGCAGTGCCCTGCATGGCTCACCCTTGCAGGCCCGGCGGCTGGTGATGGGACGGCTCAGGTCCCGTTTGAAGCCCGGCTGGCAGTAGTGGCAGTGCCGCCCGGCCGTGTGGTGCCGGCAGTTCAGGCAGACGCCCCCGCTCTTGCGCCCCGACAGCTTGTACAGCTCCAGGTTAAAGCGGCACCGGTGCGAGTGGCCGTGGCATTCACAGGCTGGGGAGACAGGGCGGGGGGCAGGGAAGTCATCGTACCAGTGACGCCCAGCAGGGGGCCCCCAAACACCCAAACCCCTGGATCGTCATTCTCTCAGGTGCTCCTCAATTCTGACCCACAGCTCCCTGCTCTCCCAGCCCCGCCCCCTAACTCTGCCAGTGCCCCTCAGTCCTGACCCACAGCACCGATCCTGTGGCCTGAGGAGTCTCTGGACTCAGAGAGATCCTGGGGCTGTCCTGACCTGTCCTCACTCGGGGAATCCCTGGGCTGCAACTGCCTGGGTGCCCCCTCCACAACGACCCCCCCCCCCCCCCCGTCACTCACCCACGCACTCGTGGGCATCGCTGGGCGTGCCGCGCTGCCAGGGCCGATCGCAGTAGAAGGCCCTGCAGGTCTCGCACTCGGGCCCGGCCGTGTTGTGCCGACATTGACACTGGGGGGCCCCGCCAGGCCCAGCTGCCCCACACCGGGCAGCGTGCCCGTGGCACCGGCACCGGCCCCCGACCTGCAGGTCTGACACCCCGTAGGAGGCTTCCCGGTCCCGCAGCCCCAGCGCCCGGTGCCTGCGATCAAAGGCCACCCGCAGGTCGGTGGCGGTCACCCAGTCCTGAAGCACGGGGCTGTTCTCGAAGACCCGGGCCGAGGGGCGGCCGGCCAGAGGCATGAAAGCCACCAGCCCCCCCACGAGCGGCGTGGGGTCCGTCTGGGCGGCGGTGCACAGGGCCTCGTGCTCTGTGGCCTTGGCGACCGCGGAGGCCGGGGGCAGCCCATAGACCCGGGGGCAGCGGGCGGAGAAGAACTGGAGGGGCGTCCAGGAGTGGCCGTGGTCGGTGGATTTATAGAGGGCCATGGAGTGGGGGCGCGGGGAGCAGAAGCGCAGGGCCACGTAGAGCAGCTCGAAGCGGCCCCCCAGGGCCAGGGTCAGGCTGGCGTTGGCCCCCGGCCCCGACTGCCAGCAGGTGGCCTCCCCGCCCGCGTCGGTCAGGTAGGCGGCCGGGTGGGCGGCCGCGGGGTCGACCCCGTCGCAGAGGCGACACTGGCGGGACGAGGGGTCGCCCGGGTGGCGGAAGGAGCACACGCGTTGCGGGGGGCGGCCGCAAGTGGCGGAGGCCCGGATGGGGCGCCCGGCGGCCAGGTCGGCTGGCTCCGGGAGGCAGTAGCGGGGCCGCTGGGCTGCATCGTAGCAGGGGTCTGAGGCCAGGGCCAGCTGGAGCAGAAGCAGCACGCCTAGGCCCCGCCCGATGCCACGCATGGCCAGCAGCTCAGCACCGGGATGGCATCACCTGGAGAGACAGAGAAAGGAGCAGTGAGTGTGAGGCACGGCCATATCAAGGAGCAGTGAGTTCCACAGATTAACCACTCAGCAGTTATACCCTGTGGGTTCTATTATGAAGAAGGAGGAGCCCACTGGACTCCTGCTAACACCTTCTCCCTGCCAGGGCAGAACCTTGCCTTCGGGACACCAAAGCCAGAACTTATGTCAGTGGTTTAGTGGAGATAGTTCCATTTGCTAGCTCCAGTCAGCTGTAGTAGGTTGTTATCTTCACATGAAACCAGACAGAAAAGGCCTGTAGGACACATGTAGCCACTGTGTTATCTACACCAGTGTTTCTCAGCCCATGGTACGAGTACCTTTAGGGGTACTCGAGAGAAGTCTGGGGGTACGTCAACACCACTGACATGTGGAGAAACTGAATGTTTGTTTTAAGGTTCACAGCGATTTCTTATTTTTGTACTTTTTACACCCAAAAATTCCATCGCCCGCCCGGCTACAATTACGTTGTTTAAATAAATGTGTTGCAATGGTAGAAAAAAAATGTCTCTGAAAACTGTAGGTACTGGGGGTACTTATCATTTTTTTAATGGGGTACGTTATAAAAAAAAGGTTCAGAAACACTGATCTACACCGCCATGTGTCCTCTCTCCACCTCCCCTGCAGCCACTAGGTCTCACTGCCCAGAGCCAGTCCTGCTTCCCCTTTCCTCTGCTTTAACCATTAGACTCCACTTCCCTCTCAGCATCAAGGACAGCACCCAGAAGGCCTGGCTCCCAGCCAGCCCCCCTTGCTCTAACCACTACATCCCGCTCCCTTCCCACAGCCAGGGAGTGAAACCAGCCCCCCTGCTCTAACCACTAGCCCCCACTCCTCTCCCAGAGATTGGCTTGGACTAGTGTTTTGAGCAGCCTGACTTGGGTGTCCCCCGCAGGAGCTAAATGCTCAGCAGGTTCGGGGCAAGGAGGGCAGGAATGAATCCCCCCCCACCTCGAGCTCTGTGGATCGGGGAGGGGGGAGTGCTCCTTCCTTTGGGGCACAGCTCACAGCTGTCTCGGCCGGGCTAGTCCTGCCCCCCATCTCAGCCGCCCCTTCCTTGACCGGCCTGCACCGGGACGCCGGAATTTGGGGCCGTCTCACCTGAACCAGCCTCTGGGCTGCGTTTGTGCTCGGTCCCTGGCCCAGGGGGTCCTTTTGATCCCAGTCCAAGGCCCCAGAGGGACGGGGTGGAATGACCGGTCCTCGGTCCAGCCGCACGCCCCCAGGGCTTGCTCCAAGCTGCCCTGGCGGCGGCCGGCCGGGAGAAGGTTAACAGCCCCCCAGCCTGGCAGCCCCCGCTTGGCGCTAATCCGGGTGCGTGACTGCTGAGCGAAGAGGCCCTTTAAACCCAGACTCTCACGGTTATTAAGGGCTCATCGGTTTGTTTCTCTCCCGATTTCTCAACCCGCTCGAGCCCCCTTCTCTCCTCCCTGGGGGGCGGGAAGGGGAAGGGGAGGATCTGAGAGCGGGGACCCGCTGGCAGCTGGACTCTGCATTGTGGAGACCTCTGGATTGAGAGCGGAGGGGGGAAAGGGCACCCACCCACCCAGCTCCGCACGGAGAGCCCTGACCCATCCCCAGTGGGGCCAGCGGACTCGCAGACCTGGGGAGGAGACTCGCAGCCTTTCCCCTGTAGGGGGCGCTGGCTGTGATCTGGCCCCCGGCTCGGGGGGGCTGGGATGGGGCCTTTCACTACACCGAGAACAGGCTCTGATGAAAGCCACACAGGGATCAAACAGGCCCCTTGGGTTCTCCTTCCCGCTGGGCTAGGGCAGTGGTGTCCAGTGGTTAGAGCAGGGAGCGGTTGGGAGCCAGGATGCCTGGGTTCTGTTCCCCACTTGGAGGTTGGGAGCCAGGATGCCTGGGTTCTGTTCCCCTCTTGGGTGTTTTGTGCGCATGGGTAAAGCAAGCTCCTTCCATACTCCGACTGGGGCTTCACATCGGAGATTTTATGCACCTGGGGCCCCGATCCTGGTGACTCTGCGTCGGTGGGGGGGAAGGTTCAGGGGCGTGAGGGTGAGTTTGGGGGAAGGTTTGGAGGAGGGTGAGTTGCAGTGGGCTGGGGGGAG